GATGGGTTTTGATCTGTTGGGCAGAGAACTGAACTTGTAAGAATTGATCCAGGAGGTTTTTCCCTGGCACCAGTCCCCAGGTTCAGGGTTAAACGGAGCTCAATAAATGGGGAGATTGCCATGTGCAGGGCAGCAACTCATACAGAGTTGGACTCCTCATACAGACAAGGCCTGCAGTTCTGTGTCACTGGACAACTGCTGATGTTGTCATTGCCATCACCATCTACCCCAGGAGGATGATATTTGGTCTTGTTTTTCTGTCTTCGGTTGTTGGTTGGCATGTTGCTGTTACTGTCTTGGTCTTAAGGGTTTTGTTCTTGTCATGATACGACGGACAAACTAGAGTTGTTCATAACCCATGGACAGGCAGATGCATGCTGGGCTCCCACTGAACTCTAGCCCCAATCCAAGAACAGGTAGTCTGATAGCAAGGCCCTGCTCCATACTCGCCTGCATGCAGAGATGGCTGGAGATAAGGGAGCTTCAGCAAAGCAGTGAAGCCTTTCTCTCGTCTTGCTCTGAGTATAGCCCCCAAATCCAAGGTGAGCACCTGGCCTCTCCATCTCGGCAAGACGCTGGGAGAGACGTGGAAGGATCAGCAGCCAAGGACCAGCAACCTTAGGGGAAGCACGTCAAGCTGATGGAGAGGTACAAGAAGGATATTGCTAAGGAGACCAGGGAAAGCCCGCCAAAAAGGGAGTTGCCAGGCCTGAGAAGAGCAAGAAAGAGGAAGAGGAGGGCAAAGCAGAGGAAGATGAAGAGGAGGGCAAAGCAGAGGAAGATGAAGAGGATGATGAAGAAGTTGGTTCCAGTGCATTTCTTTTCTTGTCTATAAAGCATTTAACCCACCTGTAAACAACTCGTTCCTTTTAAAGGGAAAAAAAGAACAGAAATGTAAGGCTGTGTAAGATTTGTTTTTAAACTGTACAGTGTCTTTTTTTTTTTTTTTTAATAGTGAGCACACAATGTGTCTTTAGATGACCCTGTCCTGGTGGGCTTTTCAATAGCCACTGACTTGCCTGGGACAGCATGGGGGTTGTAAATGGAGCCCTTGTTAGTGCCCAGCACAAGTTAGTTCTATATGGGGATGGTAGGGGGGTTGTTTTTCCCTCTTCAATTGCCTTTGAGGCAGCTTATACGAAATAAGTTATTGCTCTGTTACCTGCATAACGCTCTGTATTGTAACAAGAACAAAAAACATCCCAACTGTTTTGTTGACATTCTGAATGCTTCTAAGGCAATACAATGTTTTTCATTAATGAAGAAAAAAAAAATTAAGTCCTGCTGAACCTTGAAGACATTATGCTGAGTGAAATGAGTCCGTCATAAAAGGACACATATAACTTACATTAAGAGAAGCAGAAGGGAATATATCAAGCCCAAGGTCACTCGTGGTTACCAGGGGCAGGAGGGTATAAGGCAGCGGTTCTCAACCTGTGGGTCTCGACCCCTTTGGGGGGGTCAAATGACCCTTTCACAGAGGTCACCTAATACACCCTGCATATCAGATATTTACATTATGATTAATAACAGTAGCAAACTTACAGTTATGAAGTAGCAATGAAAGTAATTTTATGTCTGGGGGTCACCACAACATGAAGAACTGTATTAAAGGGTCATGACATGAGGAAGGTTGAGAACCGCTGGTATAGGGGGAAGGGAGCACGAATCTGTGAGAAGCACTGGTTTTCTCTATGGTATGAGAAAATTGACACCGACTAAGTATTACGTCTATATAACTTGATTATTGTAACTGACATTACTGAGTTGTACATTTTTTAAAAAGTGAAATGGCAAATAGAATACGATATCAAAAGTTACCACGAAAACAGTAGCCAGAAAAGGCTGCAGATGTTGATAATAAACTCGTAGGATTCGTTTTCTTGGTTTAACGCAGTGGTTCTCAACCTTCCTCATGCCGCGACCCTTTCATACAGTTCCCCATGTTGTGGTGACCCCCAACCATAAAATTATTTTCGTTGCTACTTCATCACTTCATGCTACTGTTATGAATCGGGCGACCCCTGTGAAAGTGTTGTTTGACCCCCAAAGGGGTCGCAACCCACAGGCTGAGAACTGCTGTTTAAAGGCTTAGGGTCATGATTTCATGGGTCTTTCCAGTCTCTTGACCTAAAATTGTTTTTAGCTATTTATTTTTAATTCTTTTCAAAGCCCCTACTTTTCAAAGAACCCAGGTCAAGGAGCAGTGCCTGGGTCCGTCACCACCCAAATTAAACCCACGACCACTGGCGTTGCCTCCTTGAGCCGCAGATGGCTTCAAGCTGGCAACTGTCCCAGTGGGGGAACAACCAAGTCTGACATCGTCCCACTGGGGCTCCATTTGTGCCATCCAAGATCCAACGGAGCCCCAAACCACAGAAGGAAACAGAGGGGCTGCACGCCTCATTGCCTGCCTGACCATGAGACCAGAAGGCATGAGTGGTGGCTGTTGACCATTATTGATTGACTCTTTCGCTAAAAGACTCAATAAATGGACTTGATCAAAAGGGGGGAAATGTGGAATAGAAGTTCGAATTCCTATGAAAACTAGACTTACTGGATATCCTTGAGACTGGAGGAACCCTTTGCTCTATTGGAAATTATTAGGCTCACCGCAAAGATAAACTGAGGCCAGGACAGAGTGAAGAAAAAGGAGAAGTTTATTCTGTGCTCCCAGGCAAGATTCACGGGCTCCAGCAAGGAGTCAGTGAAGTCAGGCTGCCCGGGAGGGAGGGGAGAGGGGAGAGAGACACACACACAGGGGCCCTGAGCTCCAGGACGAAGTTCATGGCCCCCAGCGCAGGCCTGAGAAGTCACACCTATCAGTGGTGAAGAGCTGGTCAGGAGGGAGGGGTAGGAGCTGCAGTTGTGGGGGCTTAAGCAGTCTCCATCCGTGAAATTCAGAAGTAGAGGGTTGTCTTGATTGTTCAGCCTAAGACGGAGGAGCTGACTCATTGTCCCTGAGCCCTTTTAAAGCTAGTCGTCTCCATCTGATAAGGGCAGGTCAGGATGTTCCTAATGTCCCCCGACAGGTGCCTGACCCAACAGAAATAACTTTTAAACCTTGAATTGATGCTCTCCCATGGAGTCTCTTTAAACAACAGTTTAGTTCAATTAGTAAAGGCTGGTTTCCCTGAGCATTGCATACTTCGACAGGATTTTCCAAAGCCCAGGTGAGAACGTTAAGGGGCAGGGAGTCGAAGAAAATGAAAGATGGAGCGATACAGACAGAGCTGGTGACAGCGGAGGACATAATGGTGCAGAATTTTGAATCACGCCATGTAAAAAATTCTCGAAGGGGTGTGTTTGGTTGTGTGTGTTTTCACCAAAAAACTAAAAGAAAAAGAAAACAATTCTATGAAGCACAGGTCTGCTCTGAGACAACACCTGGGAGCTGTGTGTGTGTGTGTGTGTGTGTGTGTTAGAGAAAGTGGGAGGATGGAGGAAGTCGGCATGGAGGTCCCCCCAGAAGGGTTCCCGTGTCGAACTACAGGTATGTGCACGCGTGGGGTCCCGCAAAAGCCAAATCCAAGTCAAAGGACCCAGCTGCACTGCAAAGCACCGTGGTTTGGGAAGTGCAGGCAACTGCAGCGGCCCCGTGGGGGATACGCTGCAGCGGGGGGTGGTCTGGTGGGTTTCTGGAGAAGCCCGCTGTGTTGGGAAGAGCTGTTCTCGTCCTAGGATTAGCTGAAATGCTCCCCAAAGGTGGTTGCAAAGCCATCATGTGTCTCATTGATGTAGGTGGTTCAACCGCCTTCGCCTTTTTCACCTTCAGCCAATCAGACCAGTTCCTCTACCCTTAATGGCCACCCTCCTTGGAAAGGGCTCGGAAGGGAACCCCTGCTCCTTATCAAGTATGGAGGTGGTGGAGCTTACGCTGTCACTGGGACGGCTGGTTGGGTTTCCCAGTTAAGAAACAGTTACCCACTTTGCCCTCCCTGCATGGCCCGTCCTTTGACGTCCGAAACAGGGTCTGGGCGTCTCCCTGTGTCGTGTCCTCACAGGCGCTCTATCCTGGTACCGTGAGGTGACCAGATGTTAACCGTGGTAAAGCGGGACACCATTGATACAACTTATCCTGGCGAAATAGCCACATGGCAGCTGAAAACCATATATCCTAGCTTGTCATGCATTCTTTCCCAAAATCGGGACTTTTTAAAAGCGCTGCGGGATGCGGAAAAAATTGTTAAAAAGCGGGACGTTGGTCACCTTTTAGTAGAGGCCTTCTGCGCCTGCACTCCACCTGTCCACAGCAAGTTCTCCTTAAACATATACACACCCGAGTCGTGTGCCACACGTGTCCTGGACCACCCCCCTGGCACACACCCTCTAGTGCTTTTCCTTTAAGAGTTGTGCTTGTGGACATCCTTGTGGTTGTGGACATCAGCTGATGGGCCTGGCCCAGGCTTCTGAACCAAATCCTGGGCTTAGAAAGCCCATGCCGAACCAACCTATTTGCTGTGCACAAAAGGCCCACGGGACCACACAAGTTTATTTCCTGGTCTGCGGCGGGCCCTTCTCTAGTTTCCAAACCTCTCAAGTATCAGTGTCCAAGCCTCGGCAAGCAGTTCATTGGGAACAAAACAGAGATGAGGTTGGGTTCTTAGACCTCCCCCAGACAGCTCAACAACCCTGTTGTCCATCAGGGCTGGGGCCCGGCTATCAAACCAGACCCAGGCGCGCTGCTTGTCTGGCCAAACCGGCCAGTGTCCCGCCGCCCGGGATCTCTTTCCCTGCATGTGGCAGTGGGTCCTCATGGAAAGGTCTGGGCTTCGTCCAAGAGCATCCTTGCTGGCTAAGACCCCATCCAATGACTAAAATTGGGAATGGGTACTGCCTACCACGATCTTTCCACAGCAGAATGTCCCTGGTCCGGTCCCGTCACCTCCAACTGCAATTCCGTGTTGCAGCTCATGGAATCAAACCCACATTGGCTCAGGGTGCTGGTCTCCCAAGGGCAAGGCTGGGAGGGGGTCAGAACTCAACATGGTAAGAGGCAGTTGGAATTCAGGCTGGCAAGTGCCAGTTTATTCGTTCAACAAGTATTTTATTGAGTGCCTACTGTATGCCAGGCAGTGTTCTAGAAGCTGGGGGTACAGCCCGTACTGGCAAGGTCCTGACTGAGCCCAGCCAGGTCAGTTCCCTGAGCTTCAAGGTCATTGTCTCCGGATCTCGTTTCTACCTAGTCCCTCTTCCGTTTCTTCCCCTCCGCCTCCCTCCCACCTCCTCCCCGGCCCTTCCTTGTCTTAAGCAGCAGACCCCCCTCCCTGTGGCCTCCTGGGCCGCTACCTGTTCTGGGCTCTGATCATTCCAGTCCTGTCGGTGGCTCCTCCTTGAGGGGTCTTGCCCGACCATCTCCTGTCCCAAAGGGCCTCAGAGCCAGGTGGCCCCGCTGGTGCTTGATACGGGCAGAGCTGTCACCAAAACCCTTGCCACACTCTGCACACTTGTATGGCTTCTCCCCGGTGTGTGTGCGACGATGTTTGACCAGGTCTGAGCTCCGGGGGAACTCCTTCCCACAGAAGCCGCAGACGTGGGGCTGGCTGGGTGCAGAGGGCTGGGCCCGGACTCGGGACTGCGGGCCAGTGGGCGCTGGGCCGGGTGGGTTATGGGGCCGCAGGAGCGTGGAGGGCTGGGGAGGGCGGGCCCGTTCGCCACGGTGGGTGCGGAGGTGCTTGACGCGGGCGGAGCTGTCGGCAAAACCCTTGCCGCACTCGGGGCAGAGGTAGGGCTTCTCCCCTGTGTGCACGCGATGGTGTTTCACCAGGTCCGAGCTCCGCCGGAAGCCCTTGCCGCACTCGGGGCACTTATGAGGCTTGTCGCATGCCAACGGGGCCGGCGGGGGCGGCTCCCCAGCCTGGGGACCCCCGGGCTCTGGCTCCAAGCCGGGCAGGCCAAAAGGCCCATCACCTGAGTGTGGAGGGCTTCGAGGTGTTAGTGGGGGGCTGGTGCCAAGAGGAGGTGCGGGGGGACTGGAGCTGGGGGGCGGGCTGGGGATGAGGGGGGCCAGAGGGTAGCCTGGGATGCCAAAGTCCTGGGGCCCCATGTGGGTGAGGCGGTGGCGCAGGAGGGTGGAGCTGAGGCTGAAGGTGCGGTCACACTCTGGGCAGGCGTGAGGCCGCTCCCCGCTGTGGGTGCGGAGGTGCTTGACCCGGGCCGAGCTGTCCGCGAAGCCCTTCCCACACTCAGGGCAGAGGTAGGGCTTCTCGCCCGTGTGCACCCTCAGGTGCTTCACCAGGTCTGAGCCCCGGGCGAACTCCTTCCCGCACACGTCGCAACCGAAGGGCTTGGGCCCCAGGTGGCTCCGCTGGTGGCTCAGGAGGCTGCAGCTGAGCACAAACCTCTTGCCACAATCCGTGCAGGCATATGGCTTGTCCTGGGCCTTGGGCCCCTGCGCTGCAGCTGTGGTTGCCTGAGACGGCCGCCGGCGAGGTACCACCGGCCGGGGGGGCTGCTCCCCACGGTGTGTCCGCTGGTGCTTAATCCGGGCAGAACTGTCCCCGAAGCCCTTGCCACAGATGTCACACTTGTAGGGCTTCTCGCCCGTGTGCGTCCGCTGGTGCTTCACCAGGTCCGAACTCTGTCGGAAGCTCTTGCCGCATTCACCGCAGATGGTGGGGCGTTCACCAGCAGGAATCCGGGGCCGCGGAATCTTTGGGGGGCCCTGGGCAGGGGGCCGGACTCGGTAAGCTTTCTCCCCGCTGTGAGTTCGCTGGTGTTTGATCCGGGCAGAGCTGTCGCCAAAGCCCTTGCCGCACACACCGCACTTGTACGGTTTCTCCCCAGTGTGGGTCCGCTGGTGCTTCACCAGATCCGACATCTGCCGAAAGCTCTTGCCACACTCCCCACACACAGCAGCCCGGTCTCCCGCCTGGCCCCAGCGTGGTTCGCCCAAGAGCCGGGGGCCTCGGTCCTGGGGCTGGGGCTTGCCTGGGCCTTCTCTCTGGACCCACAAGTCATCCCAAGTCTGGATGCCTTCCGGTTTGAGGGAGGAATGGCCTACTTCCTGACCTGGGGCCAATTCTTCCTCATCTTTGAAGCCCAGCTCCTGGGCCTGTGGGGCACGGTCCAAGTCCACCGGCTGAGACATCTCTATGGTCTCACTCCCTAGACCTGGGGAAAGAAAAGGGGGATTGAAAGACCCTGCCTTTGGACTCATCCCCTACTTTGGACAGCAATCTCCCTGGAAGGCTTCCAGTGGGGACAGGCAGTGGCCAAAAGGAAGGCGCTCCCCTCTGACCCTCTAGAGCACTAACAGTAGTTTCCATTTCCCGTGTCCAGAGTATAAACCAAGCACACCATGAGTTGATAGCAACTGATGGTGAGAGTATGGTATCAAGCTGAATCCTTGCAAAATTCCTTACAGTTAGCACTGTTAGTCTTCTCCTTTGGGGGCTGAGCATATGAACTTAGAGGCTTTAAGTCTCTTGCTCAAGGTTCGAAAAAAGCAAAGCCAGGCTTCTAAGTTAAATGGGTCTGTGTTTTGAACCCTCACGTTACTTTACACTGTCTCTAGTCGAAAAACCGAGGATACCTTATTTCTGCTCCACCTTTTTCTATCAACCCATGCTGTTACTTATTATTCTGACCACAGCCTGAGGAGAGCCAGGCACACACACTGGTCCCTTACAATGCTTAGGGAAGGCGGGAGAGAGAAGATAACTCATACATAATTCCAGTCCTGTGCTGTCCCGAGAGCAGTAGATGAGGAGATAAGGGCAAGCGATTGTGGCAGAGAAAGTAAACTAGGGAAGGAAGCAGCGCTAAAGCTGCAAAAGAGCATCAGAAGTGGACTGAGCCCGGGGCTGAGGGCTTTAAATAGTAGACAGGTGCGAGCTCTGGAAGATTTTTGAGCGGGGAGACAGGATAAGGTCTCGACTTCGAGCAATCTGGCTGCAGATCGCCCCACGGAGAGCAAGGGGCACAGGGAGAGCGGCTACATCTGCCCTGGGATAAGACAGAAATGAGGCCAGAGGCAGTGGGCATGGGCAAGCTGGGGGGCGGGGTGGAGGGGCGAGTCTTTGAGATGATGCCCCCACGACGTGTCCCACAGCAGGTGCTCAACAACGCTAGCTCCCTCCCTGGGCTTTCTGCCCCTTCCCTGTCCCTTGGAGGCGCTGTCCGGCCTCGGAGGCCCCACGGAGCCACGGCCGGCCCGAGGTGGCCCTCACCTGTGCGCGCGCCCCTCTGCTGCTCGCGTTGCTCCGGGCCCGGGAGACCCGGGCCCCAGGGTTCCACGGCGCGCTCCATCGCCGGCACGCCGCCCTGAGCGAAAGGGCAGCCCCACCG